ACACACACAAACTGTACATAATAGAGGTTTTTTGTTTTTATAGATTATTTTCATTTTCTTTGAAAACTTAGATAAGTTTATATACTATTTGAGAAAGCACAATCCTGATCTGAGCTTTATACGAAGGTGAAAATTATTTTAAACATTTTTTTCTTTCCTAAAATCATTTTTACAAAATAAATAAAAAACTCATCTACTCTGTTAGTGGTAAGCTGACTTTTGTTTTGCCACTACATTTTGATGACTGGAGGAGGGAGCGAGGCAGACGACTTTGCACAGCTCTGCCTCACTTACATCGGATTCATGCACAAGTCAAGACATCACTGTCATAATGTCACTGGTCCTATTCAAGAAAAGAAGGATAAACAACAGCAGCAACCAGTATACTCTGTGAAAAGAACTGATGCTCATAGACGCTTAAAAAGGTCTGTTAATTCCACTTCAGCAAACCACTATCTTTCCCTCTCATACCGAATTTCCCACTGCCACCACCTGAGTTCACATTCCTCATACCTTCCACCTGGATAATAATTGATAGCTTCCTAACTTGTCTTCCTAACGCATCTCCTTCCTCTTACTCTAATCTATCCTTTACTTAAAATTTTTATTGTTTTACATTTTTGGTCACAACCTGTGATTTCATTAGTGTAGAGAATTTCCAGTGTGGAGACTTCCCCTACTGAAGCAGGTTAGCTCCTCATTTACAACTTATAGTCATACCCCTTTCCCTGATAAATTCATTATTTGCTTTTTTTTAAAAGGCAGTCTCTTCCTTTAAATTTTGAGTTCCTAATTCTCTTCCTTCCTCACCTAGTGAAAAGGCAGGCAAAATTATATCAATTAGATATGTGAAATCATACAAAATAATATTTCCATATTAGCTGTATCACCAAAAACAATAAAATGAGAAAATAATATTTCAGTTTGCACTCAGAGTTCCTCCATTCTCTCTTTGGAAAGTTGGATACCATTTTTCATCTTGAGTCCTTCGAAATTATCTTGGATCAGGGTATTGATAGAGTAGCTAAGTCTTTCACAGTTGATCATTTATTGCAATGTTACTATTACTATGCACAATGATCTCCCAGTACTTCCACTTCATTTTGCATCAGTTCATGTAGGTCACGCCATATTTTTTTTCATAAACCACTCCTCTCATCATTTCTTATAGGACAGTAGTATTCCATCATAATCATATGCCATAACCTGTTCAGCTGTTCCCCATTGATAAATGTCCCCTCAATTTCCAATTCTTTGGTGCCACAAAAAGAGCTGTTATAAATATTTTTGTATGTTTATATCGTTTTCCCTTTTTCTTGATCTCTCTTTGAGCTAGTAGTGGTAATACTGGTTCACAGGGTATACATACTTTTTATAGCCCTTTGGGCATAGTTCCAGAATTTCTCTCTGAATGGTTGGACTAGTGCACTATTCCACCAACAATTCATTAATGTACCTATTTGCCTTCCTCCCTTCCAGCATTTGGCATTTCTGATAGGTGTAAGATGGTATCTCATAGTTGTTTTGATTTGCTTTTCTCTAATCAATAGTGACTTAGAGCATTTTTTCATATAATTGAGATAGCTTTGATTTCTTCTTCTGAAAACTGCCTGTTCATATCCTTTGTCCATTGGGGAATGGCTATTATTTTTATCAATTTGACCCAGTTCGTTATATATTTGAGAACTGAGACCTTTATCAGAGAAATTACTGTAAAATTTTTTGGTATTACTTCATTGTCTGGTACCTTTTAGCAAAAGTAGTTTCCCTGATCACTTTTAATTAGGTTTGTTTTTACTTTTGCTTTGCTTGAGATCATGATTGCTATCCCTGACTTTTTTACTTTAGCTGACGCATATTAGATTTTGCTGCAGCTCTTCATTTTAACTCTATGTCTTTCTGTTTCAAATGACTCTTGTAAATAGCATATTGTTGGATTCTAGTTTCTAATCCATTCTGTTCTCTACTTCTGTTTTATGGGTGAGCCTCATCCTGTTCATATTCAGAGCTGTGATTACAGTGTTTCTCTTATTTTCTTCTGTTTATTTTTCTCTGTTTTTTTCCTTTCCCTCCTCAAAAGTCTGTTTTGCTCCTGACCACTGCCTCCTTTAATCTACTCTCTCTTATCCCTCTTTTTTTCCCTCTGAATCAATTCCAATGAGAGTGAGGTTAAAGTGTACACACACACACACACACACACACACACACACACACACACACGTTAGAAATACGCTTGACACCTAAAATTTGGTATCAAGAAAGTTTATTACAGAGAGAGAAACTCCATAGGATTTAGACATTTCTGACCAGAAGCAGGCTCCACCCCTCTTCAGGAGGGATGGGTCCCGTAGTATTAAGGTACAAATACTTTCATACATTCAAATTTGGCACAAAAACTCCCAGACCCGTATTGGTCCATCCCTTCCCTGGTTACACCCCTCCTTACATGTTTCCCTTTGATATGCTCAAGTATGTTCCCCCTCCCTTGGTCATACATCCCATGACTCGTTAATGAGGCTCTAATTTTACGCGGGGTGTGTCAGATAATAGTAATGAAGTTTATTAAGCAGGTGCACCGACATTTTTCAGGTGTCCTCAGGTTGACCCTAACTGGTCTGAGCTGGCTCGACCCTTTATCTTGATCTTTTTGGAGCCATCAACTTACTTCTTATTGGTTAGGCCCAAGCCCACCTACAGTGTACTACTTCCTGAAATTGTTCTTTAAATCTCTGCATTATTCTCTTTCTCTGGAAATTTAACCCTTACCTGACTCTCTCTCTCTCTCTCTCACACACACACACACACACACACCACAAACTCTTCCTTGTATGTATGTTTTATGTGAGAAAATTTTTGCCATTCTACTTTTCCCTTCCTCTTTCTCCTACTGCATTTCTCTTTCTCATGTTTTCATTTTTGGGGGGTGGGGAGGGAGAGGAGATCATCCCAACGTTATTGACTCACACCCATGCCCTCTGTCTATGCAGCCTCCTTCTAAGTGCCCTAAAATATAACACTATATTTAGAGTTAGAGGAACTGAGTTAAAATCCTGGATCTGCTATGTATTGTCTTTATGTTTCCTCCACTATAAAATCGGGGATTGGACTAATTGACTTTCCATGTGGATTAGATAGCCAAAACTGAAGAGAGGATTTAGAGGGAAGAAAAGAAGACAGATTTTTGGGAATCATCCATATTGAGTTAGGAATAGAATGAGGAGAAAGAAGGGGTATGTAGAAGTAAGAAGAGAACTTCCTGGATATCATGGAGTTTCTGGTAAAGGGAGATACTAGAAAGAAAGAGTTTGAAAAGGTCTTAGATAGAAAAACTTTGAAGGAAGCAATAGAAAAGTCATTTTTGAGTCCTTTAACCCCATGGACAGTTAATATCCAATTTCATCATTTGCTAGTAATTTCCTTTCTTGTATGTATTATATCCTCTTCTTTCTATTTTCATTACCATAATTATTGTGATAATTTTTTGACTGGTCACTCATTCTGCTCTATATTATTACTAGATTAATCTTCTTTGAAACCTTTTTATCATAAACCATCAGTGGCTTCCTGTTGCCTATCACATAATGTTCAAACACCTTCAATGTTTTCAAGGTCTCAGTGTACTTCTCTTGCCTTATTACAATGTTAACCAACTTCTGAATAGTTCTTCGTTGTCCTTCAAATGTCCTGCCCATTCCCACCTGTGTAACTGTATTTATGTGGTTTCTATCACTTGATGTTACCTTTTCCACTTTACCTATCTAAATTCTAACTATCTTTTTAAAAGCACAGTTTAATTCCTTTCTCTTCCATGGAGACTTTGCCACTCCTGGCCATCATTTCCAAATCATTCTGCCTAGCATTTTCATCTCCCTGCTATCCACCATTTGAATCTTGGTGTCTTTCCCTGAGATGTCAGGCTCCAGTAGCTAAACTTTCTCCTAATTTTAACCTAGAACCAGTCCCCTACATCACTTCCTAGCCACCAATTAAAAACCATAGAGTTATATGTGCACCTTGCCCTTCCTTTCCTTTTCCAGCTTTCCTTTGTGTGTTGGCTTCCCCCATTAAAATGTAAACTCCTCAAGGGCAAGGGCTGAATCCTGCTTGCTTTTTATTTGTATTCCCAGAACTTCACATAGTGGTTGACCAGAGGTGAGCACTTAATAAATGCTCTGTCTCTAGATTTCCAATTCTTCTGAACTTCAATAATATTTATAATCTATATCACACAATTTACTATTTTAATTTTACCCTATGCTACATTCTTTAATTATTTTATGTATATTCATTTTGTCTTTCTTATTAAATTATAAACCCTTGGAAGGCAGGGACCATGTCTTTCTGTACCTAACATATTTCTTAGCATATAATGGCTGCTGGGTTAATACTTTCTTGGTTCGACCCCAGATGCATTTGTGGCTTTTTTTTCCCTTTTATCATTGATGAGAAAATTAATTACAAAATATAACTATAACTATTTCTATTCTGTGACTATTCTCCTGTATTCACCGATAAACAAGGGAATTATTGTCATTTCAAGACATACTTATTTAAAAGATATTTCCTTGGTTTCCCTGCTTTTTTATTCTACCATTTAAAAGATTATACATATTTTATTGATTTTAAAATTTAGATGTCAAATAATTTATAAAAAAGTTTAGTTACCGTGTTATTTTTGTATTCTTGCATCTTGTAGGTAATTTTAAAGAATTTTATAGATTATTTAAACAGCCCATGCTAGCAAGTGTATTATTTCTCTGTTTTTTAAGCCTATTTTCTTTCTTGTTCTTTTTAAATCAATTTTCTTACTATTTAAGAAATAATTTGATTTTTTTCCCCCCAATGATTTTTTTTGACCTATTTAATTTGAAGTGACGCAGGTACCTGTTTTAGCAGCATAGAAAACAAAATGTTTACTTTGAATTTGTCGCCAAATAAAATGACTGTCCAGGCCACCAAACCTAGCTGGCTTACTTTTTTGTTTGATTTGCCTCTGTCAGTGGAAGAATCAGACATCATTGATCTTGAGAAACGCTATTGGCTGCTGAAGGCTCAATCCCGGACTGGCCGTTTTGATTTAGAGACATTTGGCCCTTTGGTTTCGCCACCCATTCATCCATCTCTGAGTGAAGGTAGGAGCCATTCTCATTGCCTGTAAATGTCCATTTGTTGAATTTTTCTCTTCCCACCCCACCCCCATCCCCAGATCAGTCTTCATCCATGATCTTCTCTTAGCATGTTTTTTATCTAATTACTTTGTAATTGAAGGCCTGTTAATGTGTGAAATCCTTTAGGAGGTAATTTTCTCTTCTACCCCTCACCATCCCAATTTTACAAAGAGTGTTTTGAGTGATTTATCAAAAATTTACCAGAATAATATTCTGAATGTGTCAGACTATCTCATATGGAAATGCTAGTTCCATTGTACTTTTTCTTGGTCTGATCACATCTGGAATACTGCGTTCAGTTCTTGGTAAAACATTTTAGAAAGGACATTGAAAAGGATTGAAAATTATGCCATATGATTATCTCTTGAAACACTGATTGGAAATGTTTAGTCTAGAGAAGAGAAGATTTATGCACGACATTATCTCTGTCTTCAGATATTTAAATTTTGTCATATAGAAGAGGGAGTAGGCTCAGTCTGCTTGGGTCTCAGAGAGCAGAACTAGGCCCAGTAGATAGAAGCTACATGGAGAACAATGTTGAACTAAGTAGAAGGAAGTACTTCTGATGAATAGAGATGTCCAAAAATTGAATGGGTTGTCTGGTTAGTAGTGAGTTCCCTGATACTAAGTGTCCAGTAGAGGCTCACTGAACACTTGGGATGTTGTAAAGGGCATACGTGCTTCATATTAAGAGTTAAGCTTACCCCCGAGGTCCTTTCCAACTCTGTGATTTGATGATTCAAGTCTCTTCAGACAAATTTTGCTCTCTTGTAATCCAGTAACGTGAAAGGAGAGCTTTTAGAATGCTGGAGCTTCAAGAGATCTTAGCATCTAGTTCAGCTTCCTCATTTTATAGATGAGGAAAATGGAGTCCCTAGAGATAAAGTGGCTTTGTCCAGGCTAGAAAGCTAGTAGGTACCAAATCTAGAATGTGAACCAGGTCTTTTGACTTCATTGGTTTAATAATGTTTCTACTATACCATAGCTGCCACTCACAACAGCATTTTACTTTATCCCCAAAAGAATTTTATTTTAATTAATTTATTTTGATTTATTAATAATCACTTCCATAAATTTTTGAGTTTTAAATTCCCCCCTCCTCCCCTTCTCCTTGCTCAAGAAGCACGCAATCCGATATAGGCTATACATATACATTCCTAATAAATATATTTTCACATTAGTCATGTTGTAAGTAAGAATTAGAACCAATAGGAGGAACCACCAGAAAGAGAAAACAAAACACAACAGAAGAAAAAAAAAAAGCAAATAGTATGCTTTGATCTGCATTCAAACTCCATAGTTCTTTCTTTGGATGTGGATAACATTTTCCGTCATGAGACCTTTGGAGATGTCTTAGATCCTTGTATTTCTGAGAAGGGTTAAGTCTATCAATATTAGTCATCGCACAACGTGGCTGTTACTCTGTACAATGTTCTCTTGGTTCTGCTCATTTCACTCAGCATCAGACCATACAAGTCTTTCCAGGCTAAAAGAATTTTAATGGAGATCCTCAACCATCTATAAACATTCTTATATCTTATATGTAAACAAAGCAGCTAAACTGATTTAATTTTTATTAAAATTTTTATTTATTTATAAATTTTTTCCCTTCTGTTTCCTCTCAAAGCCATTTTTAAAAAAGGATATTATACTGACTGCTTTATTAAAGGGGAGGAAAAAAATATTTCAGTAGATACGAGAGAGATCCCACAAACTAGCCATTCCAAGTCATTGTAGCTTCATGAAGAATATTGGGATACTAAATCTGTTTGAGAACTAAAAGTTAACCTTCAAGCTCTAAACCATTAACTATAATTTCTTATTGTTTGGGGATTTTATTCTCAATATTTTTACAATATTAGTCATAACTATTGAGATATTAACATGTAATCAATAAGCAATATTATTATAATTGTAATACAATGAATAAATGAATATAACTTATATGTTCAGTTTAGCATCTGAGCTGTGAATTCTTTACCTACTAAGTTATTTCAGGTCTGGTAGAGTGGCTTTAAGGAGCCTTGAAAAGGTGTAAAATATCATACATATACCTTCCTATTTCTCTTCTGTCTGGAGAGTGCCTTTCTCCAAAAAGCTTGAAATACTTTCTTTTTTCCAGATTCTTAAAAAGTTCAGTCTTTAGTTCTTTTATGATAGTTTCCTTGATACTTCCGTGGATCTCATTAATGCAGATATTCACTTACTCATCTTGCAACCCTATCCTGTCCATGCCTTCTTATTCTTTGTGTTGCCATTTTGCTTTCCCTTAAATATTCCACAGAGAATCCATCTGATATGCTAGACGCCTTCCTCTGGGACTTTTATCACTTAACAAGTACTATTGCATCACTTAATCTCTTTATATCTGTTAATCCTCTTACTATATCGCTAGCCATCCTTCTCTCACAATGGTTCCTTTATTTAGTGATATTCTTCAAAAGTTATTATAACACAGTAATTATGCTTCAGCCTATTTGTATCCCATATTTATCTTCAGTATACTTTGAGTTGTCTATTATTTTCAATCTCTTGGGATTATGCTGATGCTTTGATATTCAGCATATCATTGGGAGAATAGTGGTATTAAAAAGATGAGTTATTGTGTGAGGGAATAGCTTAGAATCATGGAAGGTGCAACATAATTCCCGGAGCAATTCATCCATCTCCTTTACTTATTTTAAATTTTGGGGCAAATTCATTTTCCATTTTTAGTCCCTGTGCAAGATAAATATAGTGATAGAAAAACTCATTCTACTGTCTATCCAACAGCATATCACAATCTGAGTATTATAGGATGTTCTTCCACTTGTTTTTGTTTTTTTCCCCCTCTGTGGATTATTGCTAGGTTAATCTCTTTTGAGTAATCATGGATCCCATTTTGGAGGTGTCTGTAGAAGCCTGAGGCTCCATGCAGTCAACACAATGTTATCCACAAACAGGAACATTTGGAGGACCTTGCCATGTATAAAGAATCTTTCGTTAGGATAACATTCAGGACAGATTTCTTAATGACAGCGTAAACACCTTTGGCCAGCATATATCTCTCTGTTTTTTGCCTTGCTTGATATCGTTAATCAGAGGATTTCTAAATAAAATTGTCACTGTGGTTGCATTTCTAAAAGAATCATAAATAATTTTCAATGTAATCAGGGGGGCTACTTTGTTGAAGTGTTTTTAACGCTGTTTTTCTCTAGAATCGAATTTCCTTATAATCAGCAAATAATTGCAACAGAATCTAGTCTTCTGTTGAAAATCATTTGTGAAAGCCCACCTATGAGAAAGGGCCTATAGGTCCTCAGTCATTTTGTGTGTGTGTGTGTGTGTGTGTGTGTGTGTGTGTGTGTAATACTGTCAATGCTTTTTTTTTTCCTCTCCTTTTGGTACGTGCTGCTCTTTGATATATTAAAAAGTCATCTGTGAGTGCATTCAAAATTCTGTGTTAACCTTTAAAATCTCATTTTACTGTTACTACAGTTTTCTTCTGTATATATTCGTGCAGGTCAGCTCTTTTCTCAGTTTCATCCTCTTAAATACCATTTCTGTTTTTTAAAGTACACCAGGTACTGAGGTGTTAAAATTAAAAGACATGCCTCTGTTATCAATGATGACAAAAAAATTGCTGTAGAAATTCTGACAGATCTTTTTTGTTGTATGTCTTTTTGTTCTCCTTCAAGCTTCATCTGTCAATACTCTTAGAATAAACTGACTTGATTGGACCTGAAGTCAAGCTTCCTATGAGTTTATTTGTCCCTCCATTGTTCACGGTTTTGTGATCTGTGAATACAATATTATTAGTTAAGTCCCCTCCTTTCTTTTCTGTAATGTTTTGCAAATGAGCTTGCACCTATGACTCAGATTTATATATAACACTTAAAGGTTTGCACTGCTCTTACCTCACATTATGTGGAGTAGTTATCTTACTCATGTAACACAATAAATGTCAGAGGTGGCATTTGAACCTGAATCTCTACTCACTCAATTATACTGTACTATATTTTTGTTTTTGTGTTGTTTGTTTTTTGTTTTGTTTTGTTTTGTTTTGTTTTGGTGTGAGACAGTTGGGGTTAAGTGACTTGCCCAGAGTCACACAGCTAGTGAGTGTTGTGTGTCTGAGGCTGGATTTGAACTCAGGTTCTCCTGACTCCAAGGCCAGATCTCTATCTACTGCGCCACCCTGTGCTAGCTTTTAAACTATAGTCAATCTTTGCTGCAATGTTTCTACACTTGGCAAGGAGATCATATGTTTTGCTAATTTAGGTAGTTCTAGAAATTTGGCTTTATTGTTGTAGCCAACTGTTAGGCTTGTTTAAAATCAGTTAAACTTCTCTAAGAAATGGTAATAATTACAATCCATGTCTTTACATCTATTTCCCATTTTATATGTAATTTTAGTAACAAGCATGTCTGATCCATTTTGCATCTTTTTTGCTCTCCTTCTAGTTAAATCTATAAATGCTTTTGAGGTGAACTGGCTCAGTTGGATCTCAAAGCAAACTCTCTGCAAGCTCATATCTTGAGCAGAAACATTTAATATTTGCCAGTAGGCACTAAACTAAGTTATTTCGCCATAGCAACCTATGAAATAAAGAAAAAAATTTGAATAGGAAAAAGGAAAAGTATTAAGATCTTTCTTAGAAGTTAAAAAACTTGAAATATATGTTTATATATAGAAATATGTGTCTACATATGCAAGTATGTATATTTATATCTCTGCCTACATATATGTGTATATAGCCTGGGAGAAGTGGCTAAGGTTCCACCCACATAAGCAGTATAGCCTGTGAACGTTACTCATTCATCCCAGCCTAGGTCTGAGTGTTTTTCCCAGAGAAGAGTCAACCACAACAATGACCCCATGGCTATCACTCAAACTGTCTCTCAAGATCTTAGCGATAATTTTGGTTTGGCAAGGTCAGTAATAGAGATAAATATACCCCTGCTGCTTGTCACTGTAGTTCCTGAGCCCTTACCAGTGTCCTTCCCATAAAATAAAATTCAGTAACCATAATATCACTAACTCTTAAACATAAAACATTTACTGCACAATAAGACAAAAATAATAATACAGCTTTTTACTCAGTAGAAAATAAAAGCACAAGTAAGTAAATATAAGTTGCTAAGTAGGAGGCAGTCAGGAGTAATCAAAATATCACAATTCCTTTATAAACATGTCTCACTCTCAGTGTCTACAGGGAGAGTGGAGAGGCACATGAGTGGGGAAACCCATATCTCTAGGGAAACTCACGTCTGTTTTGCAAGCCTTGATATCTCTGGTCCCTTCAGGAAATATCTGAACCTCACAAGGTCATTTCTCTGCCAGCTACTCTCCTTCTCATTCTTACCGCTCTCCCATTAGGCAAAGCTTCTCCTCTTTTTTTCTAAAGCCAGTGAACCGGTGAAAAATACTTTTAATTCATAGCCCCTTAACTGAGGACTGAGAAAATACTGTATTCTCGTAGGAAAAAATATCAACGTTGCATTTATTCAGTAACAAGCAGTTCCCTTAGGCCAGAGAACTGCAGAGCTCCTCATTTGGCTGTTTGGGTAATATGGACAAACTCTGCCTTTTCCGTTCTGCTTTTAGCAAAGTAAAGCCTCTTGTCCAAAATGAGAGCTCCCACCAAAATAGACAAAAATTTATCTTTTCCTCCTCTGTTTCTCCTCCAACCATACAGGACAGATGGAGACAATCAGGTACCCCCAAGTAGTTTTCTTTCTGTCATGCTGTAGGTCTTGCTAGAGAGCAGTAAGCACAAACAGCTCTCTACAACAGCAGAATTCAGCTCTCTTCCAACTAGCAGAGCAGCTGAAAAGTTGAGATGATCCAGCCTTTGTGCAACCAGTTATCAAAGAAATACCTTTCTTCCAGTCAGCAGATTCTTAACAGAGCAGATAAGGGCCTCCCAATGAACAGTTAGCCATCTTAACTGGGAGCATCTTTATCCTTCTTTGTCTTCTTTTCCCTGGCTTCTTATGATTTCTACCCTTCTCACCTTAAGCTTCTCCTTTTTCTCTCCACTTTCTAAATACCTCAAATTAGTGCCTTCATGTAAGCACTGAGTCAAGACTTAAAATGTGAATCCCACCTTTCTGTCAGATATAACTCTAGGAGTCCTTATATAATCTTCCTATACTTTATAGTCATTTGATTTACAATTTTTCAGTTATAACCTTCAAAACTTTAAAAAGTCACATACAAATAAACTGATGAACTATAATACCTGTTAGCCATCATTATCTCAGTCATTATATCATGTTCAAACAGGTTCTTTCAGTATATTTATCTGAAGGACTGTTTTGTCTCTTGTCGTCAAATAGGCTGATTCTCCTTGACATTTTCATCCAGGAACTGTTTCTTTACAAATTGATTACTGCCAGTTTCCCTGACAGTTGAAAAATTTCTGCCTTTTTCTGCAACGAAACGTCATACACAAAAGCAACATTTACCTTTATATCATGATGAACTAGTGACAGTTGTGAGAATGACATTGACTTTCTTATTTTCCAACCTGTTAACTATATATTGAAGACTTAATCACATTAATGGTTTGTCTTAATTTTTGTTTATTCTCTCACTTTCTAATCCTTTCTTGATTTCTGTACTCACACTGCTTTTATTTTCAGAAAAAAATATGTCTGTTAGACATTGAATAATTGGGGAAAATGAGAGTGTCTCTTCTCTTTGGGGATGGGATTGGGTCAGGAGGGATTGTGAGAATATGTGCAGATTGTGAGGTGAGATTAGAGACTTAACACTCACTGGTAAGGAGAAAAATGGTGAAGAAAGAGTAAATTTGTATTGACACTTTATCCCCTGGGAAGTAGACAAACCCAAGGGAAGGTTAATAAGGTAGCATCCATGGCAATGCCTTCTAAAAGAACATAAGGCATTTAAGAGATATCTCTTATACTGTCATCTTGGCGTGCGTGTGCGTGTGTGTGTGTGTGTGTGTGTGTGTGTGTGTGTGTGTGTGTGTGTGTAATTGTGCCAGGAAGCTTTTAAAAGAAGAAATTGTGCTCCATAGCTATCTATGTCCCTAGTCTCTTTGATTGCTACTGATAGAAAATGTTTTACATCTTTCCTGTTTTATGGCAAAGGGACAAGTTTATGAATGTCATACAAAAGTGTCAATAATTACATAAAATCTGGCTCAACATAGGTTATCATGACACTTTCCTATCTTCCAGGTTTGTTTAATGCCTTTGATGAAAATCGTGACAATCACATAGACTTTAAAGAGATATCCTGTGGGTTGTCAGCATGTTGCAGGGGACCTCTGGCTGAAAGACAAAAATGTAAGTGTACTAAATGTTGTCTGTCACCAAAACTTCAAACCAGTAAGTCTCTAATTTAGATTAATTGAAAGCTTTCTTTTGAGTAAGACTTGAATTTTTAGTAACTTTATCAAATTGATGAGAATCTTTTCAGTAAAAATTACAAAAAATAATAAAGCAGTTAGATAGTACTTTAAGGTTTTGAAAGTCCTTCACAGATATTATCTCATTTGATCCTCACAACAATCTTGAGAGGTAGGTATTATTATCCTGATTTTTACAGGTGATGAAACTGAGGCAGAGGGAGATTAAGTGACTTGACCTGGGTCACACAACTAGTAAGGGTCTGAGGCTGGATTTGAACTTAGGTTTTTCTTACTCCTGGTCTGGAGCTCTTACCACCTAGCTGTCTGTGGTTTATTTCTCATGATATGGAGGGTTAAAACAAATTGTCATTACATTTGGCCTGAATGAGAATAGATGTTTTGCATGATTGTTTATGAATGCATTTTTACTAGTTTGTTGCTTTTAATTTAATTTTGTTATATGATCTTTGTTGTTAATGCTGAGGTTGATTTTTTTATTTATTTTATTTTATTTTATTAAAAAAATTTTTTTTTCTTTGCTTTTAAGTGAGGCAGTCATGGTTAAGCAACTTGCCTAGGGTCACACAGCTAGTAATTGTCAAGAGTCTGAGGCCAGATTTGAATTTAGGTCCTCCTGATTCCAAGGCTAAAGCTCTATCCACTGCACCACCTAGCTGCCCCTGAGGTTGATATTTCAAATGGACTTTTGATTCCTGTTAAATGAAGTAAATGACAGAACTATATTGCTCCTGATAGATTTGAAATTTTCTAACAGAATATTTTCTTTTAGTTTCTATAGTATTTACTGTTTCTTGAGTCATCTGGAGGATAGGTATTAGATTCAAAAATAAGATTTAGGTGCATTTCTATCATTTGTATTCACAAATATTTTATTGACAGTAAAATTTATTCGCAAAATACAGTTTTCTCAATTTTTATTGAATACTAAAAGTTTTTTAGCCTGGAAGTGTTGTTTAGCCAAAATACAATTACAGTATAAATTCACAAGCATAAATATATTGTATTATTAAATCTTAAGCATTTTTTAAGAAACTGCAGGCAGTTGACATTTAATTAATTTAGCTCATATATATTTACTAGTTATTTTTCTCTCTTTCTAAAAATATAATTTTGCAGTAGTTGCTTATGGCTGGTATTGAATTTTGATTCCTTGATCTCGTCTAGTAACGTAAAGTATGAACCGGTCATATATCATAGCAACAAAAATAAATGATCTGAGAACTTGAGAAACATACTTTTCTTTTTAAGTCATAATAATTCAAGTACCTGTATTCATTTCAAATGGAGAATTAATTACTCCATTTTGATCTTGTTGCTGTTAAATATTGTTTAGGGATTAACTTAGATCCTGGCAAAAAATTATCTTAGGTACATTAATCTTTTCCATCTTCAACCGTTGTGATGGATTTAGTAATTTCTGTGAAACCTAAAGTTGAAAGTGAAGTTCTTTGTTTTTCAATAAAAGTTCATTATTCTTTTCAAAATATTTTCCTGATGTATTAAGGAAAATTAATAAATCAAAATAAATCATTTGGAATTAACAATGTAGCAGTTTTCCAATTTTTGGCATGATACATTCAGACTTTTGTGCAGAGCTGAAACTATTACACACTGCATTTGAGTTTAGTACCACGAGACAGACGTTTTGCTTTCAAGAAGTGAATGGAGAAATCAAGTTGCCTTTGACACTAAACTAGAGCACTATTTCTTCCTATAAAAAGGCCATTTGTATTATGTGCACCTGAAGAAACTGAAAAACTCTTCTGTGAGATCACCTTTTAAAATTTAGAATTATTAAGTTTAGAAATGAGATACCACCCTTAAACCAGCCACCATAGTGACAAGTCAGGTGATATGGGTCACATCCTAGAATTGCCATTCACTGCCTTTTTAACTTTATCCAGTTCACTTGATATCAGTGGATCTCAGTTTCTTCATTTTTAGTATAAGGAGGAATCATTGACCTTTAATAAATTTGCCTGCTCTCAATTTCTGATCCCATGATACTATGAACTAAGAATAGTGTGTATTTAAAAGCAACTTAGCTTTTTCATTTCAACTTGGAGGAAAAGAAGCTCTGTTTAGAGTGAAGGGATGATGTAAACCACACCCTGAATTTTTAATAAGATATTTTGTTTATGTGTGATATAGCATGATTCCTGCTGACCCAAAGCACTGCCAATACCATCTTACATGTTGTACTATATGACAACTTTACCCAGTCATACAGTTGCCTGAAAACTTTTAAATTTTTTTTATTTTTAGGCAATCGGGGTTAAGTGACTTGCCCACGGTCACACAGCTAGTTAGCGTCAAGTGTTTGGTCAGAGGCTGGACTTGAACTCAGGTCCTCCTGAAGAAAACGTTCTTGATTATCTGGAAACAATGGCCAACATTTTGCCATGTACTTTTGATTTATCTTACTTAAGAATTTCTCTTCATTAGTTTGTTTTAAGGTGTTTGATGTTGACCGTGATGGAGTCCTCTCACGAGTTGAACTGAGAGACATGGTTGTTGCACTTTTAGAGGTCTGGAAGGACAACCGCACAGATGATATCCCTGTAAGTTCTATGCTTTGAACCTCTTGTGGCAGTTTTTCCCCTGTAAGTTGGGTGACAAGGGGAGTTACTTACAGAATGATGTCAGTTTGGCTACTTCTCAAAGTGTATGCAGTTGGGGAAGAAAGAGATTTAAATGCGTTGGATTAGCTCTATTAGAATCCTTAGCTTTTTTCAAGACTCAACTCAAATGACATATCCTATAAGATACCTTTTCTTCTTCCCCTAATTGTTATTGTCTAGCTTCCTCTTCAATGTATTTATATTTTGTGTCTCTCAGTAAAATATAGGTTCCTGAAGACAAACATGATTTTCCGTTTTTGTCCTTGCATCCCCAGAACCTAGCACAGTGCCTTATCCATAGGGTATTTAATAAGTGCTTATTTATTATCTTTTGTTTTTAGATCATCTTAATTTTGCAAAATGGTTTTCCCTTTCCCAGAGAGCCACCCCTCATAACAATAAAATAGAGGGTGAAAACAATTTCAGTAAAACTAACTAACTAACATATCAACCAGTACAGACATATTGTAGTGTTCCATACCCATAGTGTCCAACACTTCTCCAAAGGAGTGACGGAAGTGCATTCTCTTATTTCTTTTTCAGAGATACACTTAGTCATAGCATTTAGTTTCAATTTTTTGTTTTGTTTTTGGGTATTTTTCTGTCCATTTACATTGTCCTTGTGTGTGTTGTTTTCCTAATTCTTCTCCACTCACTTTGCATTCTTCATATTCATCATTTTGTTCAATGTAGGGATGATACTCCATTCTATTTGTGTACCAAGATTTCTTTAACTATTTTCCAGCTAGTGGACATCTACTTTGTGTTTCCAATTCTTGGCTACTACAAAAAAGGCTGTTAGAAATATTTTGGGGTACATTCTTTTGCATCTTAGAGCAATTCCCCAGTGGATGTGTTCTAAGGAAATAATTCCTAAAAGATTATGAACTGCAAAATATGAAAAATTCTTCCAAATCACAACAGAAATGCAAATCAAAACAACTTAGAGGTTTTACTTCACACCAAGCAAATTGACGAAGACAAAAGATGGAAACAGTCAATGTTGGAGGAGTCCTAGAAAGACAGACATACTAATAAACTGCTTATGGAATTCTGTATTCGTGTAACCATTCTAGAAATCAGTTAGAAATAATGCTAAGAAAGTAACTAAAATTTTAATAGCTTTGTTGAATCAAATTGAAGATTTTTATTGAATGTGATTTTTAGGTTTATTTATTATTTTTGTCAAAGCAAATATCAGAATCTGTTCATAGTAAATTAAAATTGCCATCCAAAATAACAAAAATAATGTATATTCATTATTCTTCCCTGTTGCTGCATAGTATAATAAAATTTGTGTTTACTTAATGGTTTTTAATTACTCTTTTGGTTGTTTTTAAAGGAACTGCACATGAATTTGTCAGACATTGTAGAAGGCATATTGAATGCACATGACACCACAAAGGTGAGTTTTCGATAGGACTAATTTATATTTTTACCTAAAAACATTTGTCATGTGCCTTTCTGTTTTTGTTGATTTTAGAAATTTTTATAAAATTTATCTAAATTCCCTTGACACCAGAGTTGATAATTTTCTTTTTTGTCTGAAACTATAATTTCATTGGTGTAGGGATTTACTTTGATGTAGATTGGCAACTAATCTGTAATGTACAGTTTTAGAAAGTTGCTTGGAGTATTGAGATCTCAAGTGACTTGTCCATGGTCTCACTGCTAGTGTGTGTCAGAAGTAGAATTTGAACTCCATGCTTTGTCAGGTCAGGGCTAATTATCTACTATACCACACGCTTTAGTGTTCATGAATATATTTAAAATATGTAGTTAGGGAACTATCAACTGTATGGGCATTTTTCTGTAATCTACCCTCAGGAATTAAGTGAACTAGAATTAAAGGCATTACAAATCAGGATATTATTCTTTTATCCTTGTTTGTTAGTATTGTCTTAGTTAATTTTAATTCTCCTGTCATGCTCTTTATGTGTACTTGCTAAAAGAGCCAAGATAAACATTTCTTTTAACTAAGATTATGCCCTTAGGATCATAGAATAATAAATTTAGAGCTGGAAGGCACTTGAAAGGTCATTAAGTTCAACACCCTCATTTTACAGATTAAGAATCTGATGCCCAGGAATATTAACACCCAAGGTTACAAAGCTATTAAATGGAAGAAATGGGATCTGAACCCATGTTGTTCTCTGCTAAAAAAAATTGTCATCCCTATTTGTTACTGTCAGTGCTTTGAACCTTCACTGGACCACTTATAACAACACAACCCTGAATAAATTTACATGTGCCATGGGAGTGCATTTTCTGGCATCAAAGATATGTGTGCATTTATAAAAAGTAACATCCTAAAGTATTCTTTATATCGATTGTTGGTTCCCGTGCGTGTTGTGTTCTAGCCATCTGCTTACCTTATCTCGAGGTTTAACTCTATGTAAATTCTGATGTCTTTGTCTGCTTGGAAATAACTCATGCATACAAGGCACCCTTGCTTATGAGCCTTTCTACTCAGAAATGAAATGAAGTGGTAGACTAGCACATAGGAATAACTTATAGCCAATTGAAAGGAAGAATTTGAGGGGTGTTTATTTTTAGTTTAAGTATTATTTCTGCTTTAATGGATGACATACGTGAGGGGAAAGAGTCCTTTTGGCCTCTGTCATTGACCTACTTGGTCTCCTTTGCCTTCAGCCCTCTGTTGGCAGTATTTTGAGATACCTAACTCACGATAGGCCTGTTGATGAAGGCAGTAACCGTGTGACTGACCACCCTGTTTGTTCAATTTGATATGCCTAAATATTGATCTTCTTTGGTATACCATTGTTGGTAATGTGCCAGATTGTCAGACCCTTGAAAGGCTGTCGTTGGTTACATGTTTCTTGCTTTGTCAAAATGTCTTCATGGCCTTTATCTGTTCTTCCTGGACTTCTTAGCTTTTGCCACTGTGGATGGCCATGACCTCTATGCCCTTGGTTACTCATGGATAATATTTTCTGTTTCTAATTTTCTCTTTGATAATCAGCCCTGGAACATATGTGGGCAGTCATTTTTTGCAGGTATTCTAGTAGATATGTCATCTTTGTCTCCTGCCATACTATACCTCCTGAAAGACCTGCAGAATGACACCATGTTGATGGTGATGCATTTTGTTAAGGACATTTTGGCCAAATTTTGGGTCTTTTGTGAGTATGTTAGTGATACAATCACATCAATAAATATTTATTATTTGCTAGGCATTGTGCCACATGCTGGGGATACAAAGAAAGGCAAAAAAAAATAGTCCCTTCTCTTAAGGAGTTCACAGTCTAATGGGGGAGATAACATTCAAACAACTATGTACAAACAAGATATAACAGAATCAATTGGAGATAATTAACAGAGAGAAGGCACTAAGATTAAGGAGGATAAGGAAAGGCTTCTTGGAGAAGATGGGAACTTTAGCTGAGATTTCCTGAAGGAAACTAGAACATAGAGACAAAGTAGGAAGAGTTCCAGGCATGGGAGCCAGCCAGAGAAAATGCATACAATTGGGAGATGATGGCACCTTGTGTGCAAGGAAAAGAAAGGAGGCCAATGCCACTGGATTACAGTCTTTGGAGGTGAGTAAGGTGTAAGGAATGAAAAGGTAGGAAAGGGCCAGGTTATGAAGAGCTTTAAAAGCCAAACAAAGGATTTTATATTTTATCTTGGACGCAATGTGGGAAAGCACTAAAGTTTGTTAAATAACAGGGTGATATGATCAGATTTGTCCTTTAGGAACGTCAGTTTGACAGTTGGGTGAAAGTTGAACTGGTTTGAGGAGAGATGTTAGATAGGAAAATCCATCAGTAGGCCACTGCGATAGTAGAGATAGGAGGTGATGAAGGCCTGCATCAAGACTATGTCAGTGTCAGAGAAAAGAAGAGGCTGTGTGTGAGAAATGTTACAAAGATGAAATTGACATCCCTTGGCAACACATTGGATACCATTAAAGAACGAGTATTGGGTTCGATCTTGTCCAATCTTCAGTAAAAGAAACTGAGGCAGGGCTCTGAGCTAATAGCACAGAGCTAGGGTCATGGCCCCCTCTAATAAAATGTACCTTAGATCTTCTTCATGAGCCTCCTGGTGGAGGTACAGTCAAAAATAACTGGGGTCTTTCCATGCCATTGAGTTCACCACACTGGACTTGATCATTTACTCATCAAACATTGGTTAAGCAAGTGGATTCACAATGAAATCAAACTCAATTCAATTACTAACTAGTGACCTAAATAAAATAGGGCTCTAAATTAATGATTTCCCACATGAGGTTGATGCCTACATTACAAGTAGCCTTTCACCAAACAGGATGGTGATACTGTTGATAGTTAGGAGGAGGAATTTTGGGGGAATTTAATGAGTTTAATTTTTGATACGTTGAGTTTAAGATGTCTATGAGACATCCAATTCAAGATTTCCAAGGGCAAGATCTGTTAATTTTCCTCAAAGTAGGAGCAGACAGTATAGATGATCCCCTCAAAGCCTCTTAATTTATCAGCCAGCCTCTTCCAAGACTGGAAATCAGAAGATTACCAGTCTTAGCATCTTCTTTTGCAGTAAGTTTATGAGATTCCCAGTAATGGATACCATCATGTATGCTCCATGCTAGGGAGTCTCTGTCTGTTCATTTACCAACATGCTCTGAATGCAGAGGGCACAGCAAAAAGATTGTATGCTTGTCAACCTGCAGCTGCCGACAATAATGACCCAGAATTCTGTGGATCTCATGGGCCAATTTTCTCAAGTTGTTGGTAAAACTGTAGGTCCCCTCCATCATTACAAAGGTAATTTTTTTCTCATACCCAACATAGAACGTGATTATAGGCAGAGGTCTGCTGGATCCACTAAAAGTAATGCTAATGACATACTGTTCATAAACAGTGGTCAGGTTGCCCTGCATCTGGGTAGGATTGAGTAGGGAATACCTTTCCTCAGGCACCACAGAATGGCGGCAGGAAACTTCATCTCCTTTAAACTGTTGATGAAGGGAGCAGCTAGGTGGCTTAGTGAATAGAGTCAGGAGAAACTGAGTTCAAATTCAGCCTCAGACACTTCACACTTACTAATAACTGTGTGACCCTGGGCAAATCACTTAACCCTGATCCCTTCACCAAAGGGGCAAGATCACTTTTCCTAGCAGAATAAGATGCTTCCTGTGCATATATTCATGCCTGTGGTGTCTCTCCACTACTTTTTGCCTTTATAGTTTTCAAGGCTAGCATGAAAAGATGAAAATGAATAATTCTTCCCTGTTTGTTGCATTTTTTTCTATTTAAAAATTTTTGTAGTTGTATTATCATAGATCTAGAGCTGGCAGAGACCTTAGAGACCATGGAGTCCAACTCCCCTTATTTTTATAGATGAGAAAACAGAGGCTCAGATGTTAAGTGATTTGCTTAGGGTCACACACCTAGTAAGTGTCTGGGACAGTATTTGGATCCATATTATCCTTATTCCAAGTCCAGTATCCTATGTGCTATGCCTTGCTGCATTTCTTTGCTTTTTTTTTTTTTTATAATGGGCAGAGACCTTTTATCTTGAAATTTACAGATACATGCTTAATTTTACTTGTAATTAACCATTTATCTTTATTTTGAATAAACAGTGCTGTGACTTACTTTGTTGGGTATTGATTTTTAAGTATAAATTTTTTTATTAATTTCTTTTAATTTATCAACAATCACTTCCATAAGTTTTTGAGTTTAAAATTTTTCTCCCTCTCCAAGACAGTGCACAGTCTGATATAGGGCTATACATGTACATTCCTATTAAATATTTTCACATTAGTGATGTTGTAAGGAAGAATTAGAACCAATAGGAGGAGAGGCAGCTAGGTGATGCAGTGGATAGAGCACAGGAGGACCTGAGTTCAAATCCGGCCTCAGACCATACACTTGACACCTACTAACTGTGTGACTCTGGGCAAGTCAGTTAACCCCAATTGCCTTTAAAAAAAAAAAAAATTGAACCAATAGGAGGAGCCACAAGAAAAAGAAAACAAAACAAAACGGAAGAAAAAAATAGCAAAATAGTGTGCTTCAATCTGCTTTCAAACTCCACAGTTCGTTCTTTAGAAGTGGATAGCATTTTCCATCATGAGACTTTTGGAGAGGTCTTAGATCCTTGCATTTGCTGAGAAGGGCTAAGTCTAGCAACGTTAGTCATTTCACAGTGCGGCTGTTACTGTGTACGACGTTCTCCTTGTTCTGCTCACTTCACTCAGCATCAGTCCATACAAGTGTTTCCAGGTTTTTCTGAAGTCTGCCTGCTCATCATTTCTTATAGCACAATAATATTCCATTACATTCATATACCACAGCTTGTTCAGCCGTTCCTTAATAAGAACAATACACTATGACCAGGTAGGATTTATCACAGGAATGCAAGGTTGGTTCAGTATTAGTGAAACTATCAGCATAATTAATCATATCAACAACAGAACTACCAGAAACCACATGATCATCTTAATAGATGCAGAAAAAGCTTTTGACAAAATACAACACCCATTCCTATTAAAAACACTAGAGAGCATAGGAATAAATAGAATCTTCCTTAAAATAATAAGTAGCATCTATCTAAAACCTTTAGCAAGCATCATATGTAATGGGGACAAGCTAGAAGCTTTTCCAGTAAGATTGGAGGTGAAAGAAAGATGTCCATTATCTCCACTGTTGTTCAATATCATACTGGAAAAGTTAGCATTAACAATAAGAGAAGAAAAAGAAATTGAAGGTATTAGAATAGGCAAAGAAGAAACAAAGCTATCACTCTTTGCAGATGATATGATGATATAGAGAATCCTAGAGAATCAAGTAAAAAATTATTTGAAATAATAAACAACTTTGGCAAAATTGCAGGCTATAAAATAAACCCACATAAATCATCGGCATTTCTATACATTACCAACAAAGCCCAACAGTAAGAGATAGAGAAATTCCATTTAAAGTTATTGTGTACATTATAAAATATTTAGGAGTCTACCTACCGAAACAAGCCCAGGAACTATATGAACACAACTACAAAACACTTTCACGCAAATAAAGTCAGATCTAAATAATTGGAAAAACACGAGTTGCTCATGGGTAGGCTGAACTAATATAATAAAGATGACAATTCTACCTAAGCACTTTGTTCATATCTTTTGACCATTTGGGAAATGACTTGTATTCTTATAAATTTGACTGAGTTCTCTATATATTGTAGAAATGAGGCCCTTATCAGAGACACTGGTTGCAAAAATTTCCCAGTTTTCTACTTCCTTCCTAATCTTGGTTGCATTGGCTTTGTTTGTGCAAAAACTTTTCAATTTAATGTAATCAAAATTATTCATTTTGCATTTCATAATGTACTCTATCTCCTGTTTGGTCATAAATTCTTGTATTCTCCATAAATCTGACTGGTAAACTATTCCTTGCTCTCCCAGTCCAAAATATTTATAGGAGCATTTTTTTAGCGCTAAAGGATTGGAAACTGAGGGAGTGCCCATCGCTTAGAAAATAGCCGAGCAAGTTATGGTATATGAAGTTGATGTAATGCTATTGTGCTGTTAAGAAATGATATGATAGTCAGAAAAAACTTAGGAAGACTTGTACGAAGTGGTGCAGAGAGAAGTTCACAGAATTAGCAAAGCTTGTATAGTAACAACAATAAAGATAAACATTTTTGAAAGACTTGGAAACTCTGATCAATGTGATTGACCGACCACAAATCCAGGAGACTCGTGATGAACTAAGCTATCTACTTCTGGATAGACAGCTAATTGGCTCAAAGTACAGATTGAGGCATGTTTTCCTTATCTTCTTTTTGAAATTTTTGCACATGGCTAATTAGGGAAATAGTTTTATTTGACTGTACATATTTGTAGCAAGGTGTTTTTGTTTTTTGTTTTTTAATCAATGGGTAGGGTATGGAGAGTTTGAAACTGCATAAAATAAAGCTGAATTTAAAATACTAAAAAATAAAACCTTGTCACTCCAGTTTATTACCCCATGACCTTTGGTGAGTCACTTAACCTCCTTAGGCCTCAGTTTATTCAACTATAAAATGAAGGGATTGGACTAACTAGCCTTCAGAGCCTTAAAGTTCTAGGTTTCCATGTGTCTAAATATGTGATTCTGTGATTTTAATATATTTTACTACTATTACTATGTTACATGTAAATGTAACTATTTCTTCCTAACAAGAAGAATGCATTGATTTCTAGCTAAAATATTTGAGGAGCCTAAAAGGATTCTGGTCTCTTACTCCTACTGTCAGAAAAGGAAATTTTAGATTGTGTTATGCAGAACTTTAAGATAATCGTTGTACCAAAGGCAGTCATTTTTTTATTATGTTCTTCTTCAAAAATTTCATTTTTTTAAAAAGAGCATAAATTCAGATTACTTAGGTGAAACACTATTCTCAATTGTCTTTTTTTTTTTTTAATAAAATTTCCTGTGGTAAATTGCCACCGTATCTACTTTGACACGGTTTATATGCATTCCTTACCAGTGTATGTTACTTTTAATCTGATCTTACTTTCCCTAGTTTTCAGATTACACTTACTATTTGGAAATCGAACATGAGTAATAAAAGTTTTGTAACTTAGCTTTGATTTTCATTTCTCTTTTAAAAGCAAAATACTCTAAAAAAACTTTTTTTAAATGTTGTCCTTCTTCCAGAAGGGGCATCTTACTCTGGAGGACTATCAGATCTGGAGTGTGAAGAATGTTCTTGCCAATGAATTTTTAAATCTCCTTTTTCAGGTATGTATCCTCATTATAAATAACCTTTTGTGGGGGGGGGGGGGTATGAGGTGCACTCCCAGTAGTCTTCAGTCTTTTCTATTGTTATGGAATTCATACTCAAGTTCTTTTCTTTTTAGGTACAAGAGTATAGACTTTTACCAGCTAAGAGGAATTCGGTCTCATTATGATGACATGTCTTTAAAGTGCCTCAAAATCATGACCTAGAAAATAGAAAACTGGAGTGCAGCCGTTTAAATCAATTGTCTTTCTTACCCATTATGAAGCCTCTCACCATTAACTAAGTAACTTAAAATTCAAATGTTTCTGTACTTTTCTGTGCTAACCACCTCTTTCCCAGTGCTATTAGTTTAAAACTAGTTCATAAATAGAGTTAACTCTTAATTTTGCCAGGGGTGTATTGTCCATTAGTGGATTATTCCAGCTTGAAGGCTCTTTCAGTTTGGCTGCTCATTAACACGTCCAAGAAAGATTGGATGGGGAAGGCAGAAACAAATATCCAGGCAAGTGAGGTTTTTGAGTGTTTATGGTCTATACTTAACCTCTTTCTCTGTAAAATATGATGAATCAAAGATGGTTGTTTATCATCTCTAAGGTTTGGTCTCCAAAATAATCCAGGAAAGTCATCCTTTCTCAGCATGAGCATCTGCCAGAACCCCTAAGAAATCGGTGCTTGAGCATATTATGAAATATTAATATTAATCCACATACATAGATGAGCAAGATTGAGTAATGACTGGTTCCACTGCACATATGTCTAACACATGCTAGAAATACCACATTTTATTTTCCAGTAAAAGAAAAGGTACAATTTATATTTTGCTAAATGTTTCCCTTTCCTTTTCCTCTAGTTCATACCATTGTGGTGTGCTTATTAAGAATACAATTCATAATGCAGCATATTTTGAGAATTTTCCAAGAAGCTCTCTAAATCTGGGGTGTGACACTTTGAAGAACATGGAACTGATATACTTATAACAGTAATATTGTACAAATAGAAAAATCAGTCTTTCCTGAAAGTTAATGACAGATTATCTTTTATTTAGATCGTGGAACCCAATCTCGTAAGACTGGAATATCAATTTAAATCTATCAGTTGTTCCACAGTTTATTAAAGTCTGCTACTGAGATTAAAATTGATGGCTTCATAAAGCGTCTTCAGAAATGTTATGCAAGTCATTACCAGTAATGGAATTGAACATTGATCAGCAATTTAAATCTCATTTAAATTTTTCCTTAGTGGTGTATATTGTTTATTGATGTTTTGATATTTTCATTCTGCTGCTTCCCCCCTTGTTTTAATATAGCAGCTTTCTAGTCTAAGTCTTCTTGTCTGTCTTCTTGTTCTTTACTCGTAGTGTACTGATTGACCAACCTCTCTTTACCTGGTTGGTTTAAGTAATTTTCTTAAGCCACAGTAATTCTAGAAGAACATATTTGAAGTCATGAAGGGGTTGCAGTCTATGTTAATGAAAGGTAGAGTACCCTAACCCCTGAAAATAAGGAGGCTTGACGTATTTTCCTACTTTTAATTCCAAAGGTTTTCTTTCCTATTTTTGTTTATTTCCTTTATTTAAGCTACATAAGGTTGCTTTTATGTGGAAATATTTTGCAGGGTGTTAATCTTTTCCTGGGTAAGCACACATTTTAGCTATGTTTAAACTCTCACACCCACTTAATATGTATTTAAGAGCCAGTTTTTGTGCTAGGACGAGCTGAGCAGCTTCGTTTTTGACGAGAAGTCTGTTGTGGGAGATTTTCATTTGAGGAGATCACTCTGGTCTTGATACTCAAACTAAGGGTGCATAAAACAGAAAGATAATTATAGACCAATTCCACTAATGAATCAATGTAAAACTTTTAATAAAAGATTAGCAAGCAGATGATGGCAATATAGGCAAAAAAATTTTCACTATGACCAAGTAGCTTTTATTCCATGGACACAAAAGTCGTTTAAAATTAGAAAAATATTGTATCTACACCCAAGAACTAACATTAATTACCTCATTCTACCTCTCCTTTTCCCCTTCTCCTAGTGTATTCCTCTTTCTCATCACTTAATTTTATTTTTTTAGATATCATCCCATCATATCCAACTTCCAGTTGTGTCCTTTGTCTATGTATACTCCTTCGAACTGCCCTAATAATGAGAAAGTTCTCAAGATTTAGAAGTATCATCTTTCCATATAGAAATGTAAACAATTTCACCTTATCGCATCCCTCATGATTTCTCTTTTGTGTTTACCTTTTAATGTTTCTCCTGACTCTTGTATTTGAAAACTGAATTTTCTATTCAGCCCCAGTCTTTTCATCAGCAGTGCTTGAAAGTCGTTCTATTTCACTGAATATACATATTCCCTATGCAGGATTATACTGTTTTGCTGGATAGGTGATTCTTGGTTGTAATCCTAGTTCTTTTGTCTTCTGGAATATCATATTCCAAGCCCTCTAATCCTTTAATGTTAGAAGCTGATAAATTTTGTGTTATCCTGACATGCTCCATAATATTTGAATTGTTCTTTCTGGATGCTTGCAATATTTTCTCCTTCAGCTGGAAGCCCTAGAATTTGTCCATAATATTTCTGAAAGTTTTCTTTTTAGGATCTTTTTTAGGAGGTGATCAGTGGATTTTTTCAATTTCTATTTTACCTTCTGGTTCTAGAATATCAGAAGAGTTTACCTTGATAATTTCTTGTGACATGATATCTCAGCAGTTTTTTTGATCATGGCTTTCAGGTAGTACAATAATTCTTGAATTATCTCTCTTTAATCAATTTTCCAGGTCCATTGTTTTTTCCAATGAGATATTTCATGTTTTCTTCATTTTTTTTCTTTTTTTCTTTTTTTTTTTTTATGTCTTGTGCAGTTATTAGCTTTTAACTTGCCCAGTTTTGATTTTTAAGGAATTATTTTCTTCAGTGAGGTTTTGTATCTCTTTTTTCAATTGGCTAATTATGCATTTTAAGGTGGTGTTCTCTTCAGTGGGTTTTTGTGCCTCTTTTTAACATTTGGCGTATTCTGCATAATACCTTAAAGGTATTATTTTCTTCAGTACTTTTTTGTGCTGCTTTTGCCAAGCTGCTGATTCTTTTTTTTATTATTTTCTTGTATTGCTTTCATTTCTTCTCCCAGTTTTTCCTCTACCTAACTTATTTGATTTTTAAAATCCTTTTTGAGCCCTTTCAGTAATTCTTTTGGGCCCTGAGACCAATTCACATTTTTCTTTGAGGCTTTGGATATAGCAGTTTTGACTTTGTTGTCTTCTTCTGAGCTTGTGTTTTGCTCTTCCCTGTCACCATAGTAACTTTCTACGTCAAGTTCTTTTTTGTTATTGTTTGGTCATTTTTCCAGCCTATTTCTTGACTTCCTAACTCTATGTTAAAGTGGGGCTCTCCTTGCAGGGTGGAGGGGGCACTGTCCTAAGCGATAGGCCTTTCTTCCTGTTGTTCTCAACTAGATCTTGGGGATGTGTATGTTTTCAGTTTTTTAATGGTGGTATGGTCTAAGGGAGAGGTGTGGTCACTGCTCTCCTGGCCTGTACTCTGGTCTGTGAGTGACTGCAAACACTCTTTTTGATCCTAGAACTGTGTTCAGGATCCCTGCTCCCCTGTGGCCACAAGCTGTAGTGTGCTTGTGTTCCTCCTAGCCACCTGAGGTTGCCACCTATGAGACCTTGATTTGTATGTGGGCATTGCAACAGAGTCTTACACCCAATGCCAGCAAAGGGACCCATGTAGTTTCCTTCTGACCAGTTGTGTCACCCCCTTACCATCTGTGGGCTGGGAGGTTTGGAAACCTCAACTCACTGCTACTGCTTATTCAGTTACCCACAAGGCTTGCTGCTTGTTTCCTGGATCCTACCTTGTGCCAACACAGCCTACGCTGGACTGTGCTCTGCTCTCACCCTGATGCAACAGACCTTTCCTGCTAGCCTAAGTTGTCTTGGGCTGGAAAATTGTTTCATCCTGTCCTTTTATGGGTTCTGCTTCTCCAGAATTTGCTTTGAGACATTATTTAAAGTTGTTTGGAGGGGAATTTGGGAGCTTGTAGATGAGGCCTTTTCTCCGCCATCTTGGCTTGGCCCCTGACAGCTAATTTTCTTGAAAAGAGAAAGGAAAAAAAAAAACAGTTCAGCAAAATCAGTCAACACATCAACTTAATTTGACAGCATATTCATTATTCAACACTATTAGTTGCACACCTCTTCAAAGAAAAAAGAAAGGTACATTTTGTCAGATCTCCCAAGTCAGGCTAGGTTATTTATAGTTATGTTGTATTCAGTGTAATTTTTTATTGTTATTCCCATTTACATATTTATAGTCATTATATATATTGTTTTCCTGGTTCTGTTTACTTCATCATGCGTTAATTCATGTAAGTATTCCCATACTTATTTGAATTTTTCAGATTCATTTCTTTTTAATCACAATGCTATTCCATTACATTCATGTCCCATGGTTTTATTGAATGAAATTGGAATGGAGGCCCCTTCTAGCTCTACGTCTGTAGTACTAAAACCTGAGAGTGAAATTAGAGGTATAAACACCAGGAGAGACAAGGCAAAATTACACCCTTCCTACGATGGTATTATACTTACCTACGTGATGCCTTTTTAGAAAACCCTAGAGAATCATCTAAAAAACTAGTTTCTTCAGTGAAGTAGCAGCATACAAAAAGTCTTCATAATTTCTATTCTAAATTCTGGAGGTAAACAGCAGAAAGAAAAATTCCATTCAGATAAACTATGAAATGTGCGGATTACCTGGGGTTGTTAGCCTTCTAAAGCAAACTTAGTCTTAAATTAAATTACAAAATATTTGTCACACAAAGGACAATTTAAATGATTGGGGAGGATGTTCATTGTTCTGGTCTGATCTCACCAGTTAATCTAAACATAACCTAAATTAATTTACAAATTTAGTCTTGTATTAATTAAACTGTGAAGAGGTTACTTTATAGAATCAGACAAAATTATAATACAACTAATTTTGGATAACGAAAGGTCCCTAATACAAAGTAAAAGAGCAAAAGAAACAACATGTACGTAGGAAATTAAGTGCCATACTATTGCTGTAAGAAATGATGAGCAAGATTGCTCTCAAAAAAACCCTGGAAAGACTTAACGTGAGCTGATGCAAAGTAAAATGTATTGTGTACAAAGTAACAGCAGTATTGTAAGATTATCAGCTGTGAATGATGTAGCTGGTCTCAGCAAATGTAAATTAAAACAACTCTGAGGTACCACTTCATACCTATCAGATTGGCTAAAATGACAAAAAAGCAAAATGACAAATGATGAAGGGGATGTGGAAAAATAGAGACACTAGTGCATTGTTGGTGGAGTTGTGAACTGACCCAATCATTCTGGAGAACAATTTACAACTATACCCAAAGGGCTATAAAACTGTGCATCCCTGCTGATCTAGCAATACCACTACTAAGTCTGTATCACAAAGGAATCAAAGGAAAAGGACCAATATGTACAAAGGTATTTATAGGAGCTCTTTATATGGTGGCAAAGTATTGGAAATTGAGGAAATGCCCATCATGTGGGGAGATGACTGAATAAGTTGTGGTATATGATTGTGATGGAATACTATTATGTTTATAAGAAATGATGAAGGGGATGGTTTCAGAAAAACCTGAGAAGATGTATATGAATTGATGCTAAATAAAGTGAGTGAGCTGTTACATAGTAACAGCAATAATGTAATTATGATAAGCTCTGAAAGACTTAGCTACTCTGATCATTGAAATCCAAAAGACTCACAAAGAAAAATATTATTCACCTCCAGAGACACTGATCAACTCAGAGTACAGATTGAAGCATATTTTCTTTTGTCACCAAAATAAGATTCTATAGTCTGAGTTTTTTCCCACTGTTTGTTCATGTTCCCAGCCAATTACTTGATTTTTTAACTCTTTGTTAAGGTAGGGCTCTGCTTCCAGTGTGGAGGGTGTAGTGTCCCAAGCTTTACGGCTTTTGTGCAGCTATTTTCTGAGGTATTTCTAGGGACCTGCAAATTTTCAACTTTACCTAAGTGGTATGATCAAAAGAGAGGTGTTTACTCCGCCATCTTGGCTCCACCTCCTGAAACATCTTTAATTTTTCTTGCCCCTCCCCCCTTTTTAACAACGTGGCTGATATGGAAATATGTTTTGCATGACTTCATGTATAATTAACATTATATTGCTTGCCTTCTCAATGACTAGGCAGAGACTTGAAGAAGGGAGAGAATTTGGACCTCAAAATTTAAAAATGACTGTTAAAAAATAAATGTAACTTTAAAAAAAGAATAGGGTATATGAAGAAACACAGAAAGGTCAGTATACTAACTATTGGACTTGCAGCTTAGGCAGAGATTTCTTAAATTTCTTAGAGGAAAACAGATTTTCACATTTCACTGTGATTATGACCCTGGGCAAGATTCACAGAAGTTAAATTAATAGGGAAATGTGTGATATGACTGCTTAGCGTCACTTTCAATCATTATATTCTGGTGGTCTACACATTCAAGTGTTGCTCTCACCTTCTCTACTACTACTACTGCCATTAAGACTGGGCTCCCTTACCACCACTAGCGCTCCTGCCCTTCTTGTCTGTCAAAAATTTAGGTCTTAATGTACATAGTAATAACCACATTATGAGATAACTGATTTTGCTAGACTTGGCTCTTTACAGCAATTCAAGAATCTAAGACAACTCCAAAGGTTCGTGATAGAAATTGCTGTCCACACTCAGAGAAAGAAATATGGAGTCTGAATACGGATGGAAGCATACTATTTGCTCTCCTTTTCCTTTGTTGTTTTGTTTTATTGCTTCATTTTCATGGTTCCTTCCATTAGTTCTAATTGTTCTTTACATCGTGACTAATGGGAAAATATGCTTAACAAGAATGTATACGTAGAGCCTATATCAGATTGTACACCATCTGGGTGAGGGAGGAAAACGTGGAAGGGGGAGAAAATTCAAAACTCAAAATCTTAAGGAAGTGAATGTTGAAAAATAAAAATAAATAAATGAATTTAGGTCTTAGGTAAGAGAAAAATGGTAAAAATATAATATAGTCATTAATAAAAACTGAAAAGGACTTGTTTTTCCAATCGAACTTACTCAAACAAATCTGTTATCTCATTGAATTAGGAGTTTGCTCCAACAGTGGAGATTTCCCATCTGGTTTAACTCTTGTCCATGTTCTCTCAAAAATTCACCATTGAGCCATCCAGCTAATGTGCTAGAGGGCTTCCTTATTGTTTTTTTGGCCTCTGAGGAGGTACCAATACTCTGACTGTGTACATGTCATTCCTCACTCTTGACCAGCCTTCTCCTATCATATGTCATAATCTTTGATGACATTCTGTTTTTTCCTTTTCTGTAGAGTTCATATTTAGTCACATGTTGCAGCTTACTCACATTCATCATCCACATCCCCATTGTCCTTTGTATAATACTCATCTTTAGTTCTTTGTATACGATGATGTTGCTTGTCACTGCCATTTAGCAACATTGGGAAAATATTAGTTTTGAAAGATGGGACTTTGTTTTGATGGAAAGCTTTGCAGTTTCCTGAAAGCAATTCAGCCTGCTTTCTTCCTTTTCAGCAGCTATGACCCATCTAATTGTCTATCGTAGATAAACATATTATTGACCTATCATCAGATTGGCTAACATTCTGGAGAAGATCCAACCATTCTGGAGAAGAATTTGGGACTATGCCCAAAGGCTATAAAACTGTGCACACCCTTTGATCCAACAATACTAATACTAGTTCTATATCCCAAAGAGATTATAAAAAAGGTAAAAGGACCCACATGTACAAAAATGTTTTTAGCAGCTCTTTTTGTGGTGGCAGAGAACTGGAAATTGAGGAGGTGTCCATCAATTGAGGAATGGCTGAACAAGCTGTGGTGTATGAAGGTAATGAAATACTATTGTTCTGTAAGAAATGATGAGCAGGCTGATTTAGAAAAGCCCGGAAAGAATTATGTGAGCTGATGCTGAGTGAAGTGAGCAGAAGCAGGAGAACATGGTACACAGTAACAGCAACATTGTGCGATGACCAAATTTGATAGACTTAGCTTTTTTCAGCAAAACAATGATATAAGACAATCCAAAAGACGGAAATGATGGAAAATGCGATCTGCATTCAGAGAAAGGACTATGGAGTCTGAATGCAGATCGAAGCATAGTATTTACTGTCTTTTTTTGTTTTTGTTTTTTCTTTCTCGTGATTTTTCCCTTTTGTTCTGACTAATGTGGAAATATGCTTAGTATGATTGCACATATATAGCCTATATCAGATTGCATGCTGTCTCAGGAAGGGGTGGAGAGGAAAAGGGGGACAATTTTGGAACTCAAAATCTTATAAAAGTCAGTGTTGAAAACTATAAATGAAATGAATGAATGAAAGTAAATTACTCTTTCCCAAGCATTATCCCAACGGAATTTTTGAAGTTCGTAAAGGAATTCATTTAAAATAAAACAAAAAAAAAATCATATTATTGGAGAAGTCATGGGACTTCATGCATTCAGCATGCCACCTGCAAACAAGAATGTCTGGAAGACCTTATCATCTGTAATAATCAGCTTGGACCTTACCCTGAAAAACTCCTCCATCACAGTGACGGATAACTTTGACAAGCTTACCACCACCAGCTTTATATCTTTCCTGATGCTGATTATCAAAAGTTATTCAACATAGCTATTTCTTTTATTAAATGTTCCAAGGAATCCTGAATGATCTCATTGTATGGATGGGAGATGCTTTGATGTAATAAAAGGTTTTTTTTGCTAAATCAAATAATTTTTTATAATCAACAATCAATATTGACACAGTAGAATCTTTACATCTTTCAGTTAATTCTGATTGTAGAGATGTGATCCACTTTTGAATTTTACTTGTGAAAGCCTGTTTGTAGCTTCCTAATTCTCTCATTGCAGATTCCCTTAATTCATATGTAGATGACTCATAAAGTTTTGTATAGATGGAACAGCAGTTATTGTTGTTCTCTTGGTCACCTTTTGGGGGGGGGCATAAATAAGATCTGAGCTTCTGTCCACACCTTTGATATCTTCCCCTTCTTTGGATACCTCATATATCTCTCATTGCCTTCACAATTGTAAACTTCTAGCATGGAGCTTCATGTATACTGTACTTGTTTCAATCTGGCTACTTTTCCCATCTTTGTTCTCTTTAGTACCCTTTCTACTCACTGTATAAGCACTTAAAGTACTGTAATATTAGAATCTTCTTTCCTTGGTGGAGAAAACAGTTTATTGAAATGTTTTTTGCAAATCTTTCCCATTTCCCTCTGTAGTCCTTCCATTTTAACAAATCTTTTCCTTTCTCATAAATGTCAGTTTTATTCTCCACATTGTGATTTTAAAATCAGACTCTGTTGTGTTAGTTTTTCTGAAAACTAGCTAAAATTTTAATTTATTGGAATTAACTCTTTAGATTTTATAGGTAATTCATCAAACTAAGGCTTTGGCCTTATTAGTCCAGGACCCTGTCGGGGAAGCCAACCTCCTGCTTTGTACTTGTATTGCTTTTGTTGTGTCAGTGGTTGGCATATATTGTCAATTTTTACTTCCCCCTCCTTCTTCCTAGGTGTGCCATATAGTCCTGGGTTTAAGACCTGCTACTCCAGAAGAAGAAGGACAAATTATTAGGTAAGTATGGGATTTTTTGCTCCGTAGTATTCATTTCATTTGTGGCCAGCTCTAGTGAGAGAGGGAAAAGGAATAAGGAACAAATGTAATCAAAATTAGTTGCCAGTTAACATTTTTACCATTCACTGTTGACTCCTGTAATTAATAGTATATAATGAATGTTTCTTCTCAAATTGTTCTTTCAGATGGTCAGGGAATGAGGTATTCTGTTCATTTTTGCCTAACTTTGAGTTAGCACAGATCTTATTTGTGTATTGGCTGTTTAGAGAATTAGGACATGAAATATCTTTAATATTAAAATTGATACTGAATATAATTAAATCTCCCACAATTCAGAAGGCCCTTCAGGATCTTTCAGTACTTTGAAGTTGTTTTATGAATATCAAGTTATCAGTGTATAGTATAGTTGAGGCTGGAGGAGGCTTGGCTGAATCTGTTGTGGCTCGGCTAAATCCTGAAAATTGCATTTTTGAATGAATAAATGGTATAGTGTTTTCTTTGTCATTTTTGTTTTCCATAATATGACATAGGTAAAATATATAATTATTGGAGCATCTCATCTAAGGAATTCTGAGTAATATACCTCATATTCATGTAGTGCTTTATACCTTATAGAAACCGCTTAACTATCCTTTACCTTATTTGTTCCCCACAGTACCCCCTTGATAAGGTAGCTAGAAGTAGGTATTATCTCCATTTTTTTAGGTTAGGAAACTGAAATTTAAAGAAGTTAAATGATTTGGCCAAGGTATCATAAGTAGGAAGTTCTAACGGTTCATAGTATTTAGGTTGTTTGGAATCTCTTGAGGTCACTTGGTTGATCTAGTGGATAGAGTTCTAGACTTTGAGTCAGGAAGTCCTGAGTTCATATCCTGCCTCAAAAACCAACTCACTGTGTAACTCTGGGCAAGTTGCTTAACTTTTGTCAGTCTCAGTTTCCTCAGCTATAAAGTAGAGACAGTAGGGTTGTTCTGAAGAGCAAATGAGGTAATATATGTAAAGTGCTTTCCAAACCGTAAAGTGCTTATGTAAATGTTTGTTATTTTTTTTCTCATACACTCATTATTTGAACATAGAAGTACCAGTGAAAGCCCAGATTGTCACCTCTGCAATCAGCTGACCACTTTTTGTGCTTCATCCAAGCAATCCATTTGCCTCATATCAAACTCTTCAGTAGTAAATATGATTAATTAAAATGCTATCTTTTTTCTTTTAGGCAATTTGGGGTTAAGTGACTTGCCCAAGGTCACAATTAAGATGCTATCTTAAAAAATAAGAGTACAATTTACTTTTAAAAAAATTCTATTTTTCCTCTGTTCTCGACTTGTTTGAACCTCACATTTTCATCACTTTTAATGTACCTATTTATAGCTTTCAAGTGTTGGCAGATGTGTTGGAAGGTTTGTGTTCATTTTCTTTATTTTCTTTTAACCATTGTTGGAAAAAGAAGACAAACAATGAGACATAAGACTCAGTAGAGGCATTTAGAGCAACACTAGTTTTTATTATGTCTTAAGGTATTTCTATTTTTCTTACAACATTGTATACCACCCAAAGTCATTATATATGGTTCATTAATATAATCTTTCTTTTTTTAAGACTCATTATTTACAAGTAAAAAAGACAAGTAAAAATCATTTACTAGCTTCTACCTTGATTTCCATTTTTTCTACTTGTTTTATATCTAAAGAGGTAATTTGCTGAGCATTATCTGAAGGAAAGTGTATTAACTCACTTGCAATCTAATGAAGTCAAGTTTGTTACTGACATAATCACTTTTAAAAATTATTCTTTAATGAATTTTCAGTTTTATAAAATCCTTTCTGCGAGATTGACAATAGAGACAGGGATTTCTCTCATTAATTATACTGGTTCCGGATACTCCTAATTAGGTTTAAGAAAATTATTAATTTGAAGTTTTTCAACTTTAAGAACTCTTTATTTTTCTTGATTCCCATATTCCAATTTTCTATTTGACATAAATACATTGATTTATTTTTGTATGTGTAGGGGTTGGTTAGAAAGAGAGAGCAGGTATGGCCTGCAGCCAGGACACAACTGGTTTATTATCTCCATGCAGTGGTGGCAGCAATGGAAAGAATATGTAAAATATGTAAGTATAATCCCTCTTTATCTACACAGTTTTAAGTGCATATTCAGATCAATTTACACAACCACTATCCATTAATAAAAATCTTTAGTTATATGATGACATACATAGAACTCTTTCCATCTTGTGTAAGAGAAAAACTTTTACATGAGATAGTTTTTCTAACTTATACAAGACTTGGAAAGATGCTGATTTTGGATGATGTCAAACTTCAGACATCCTTGTCATTGTCTCAGTTAAAAGGGGGGATTATAGAGCACATCCCCTTTTTGGGGGGCTATCTTCCCATTTTAGAGTATGCCTATTTAAACATAAGAGAAAAGCATATAAATTTAAAAGAGATTTAGGTGTCATCTAATCTTAAATTCTTTTGCAGAATTTACTCAAGGGAATTAAGAAAGTATTCTAATCTAATTTTACTGACTTGGAATGAAGTACTTTTTCTGTTATAGGAATAGTGAGTGGATTTATTGGCATTACCATTCAAATCAGTAGACAACTGAGTTGAAGGGTATTATTTCTAGGTAAATAGTTAGCTAAGAAAGAGAGAATAAGTTGGAAATAGCATTTTAGTTAGCATGCTTTTAATGAACTAGTCCTTGTGTAGAAAGTACTATACTAAGCAGTGAGGTGAGGTAATTATAAATTTTAGATAACAGGTTCCCTGTCTTCATGGAACTTATAGGCTATTTGGAGGGGTAAGACACAAACACATATAATTATAATATGCTGCATTGTATGATAACTGCATTAGAAAGTTAGAAAAGGATATGTTATGTGAACGGAGGCAGTTATGAACTAGGGAGATCAGAGAAAGGTTAATTAGTATGAGACTTTATTGGACTTTAAAGGATGGATAGGAATTCAAGAGGAATAGGGAAAGGAAGGGCCTTCTAGACATTGTAAATAGGAAGAGCAGCAATTTTGGAGGCAAGAGGACATTAGATTGCCTATAACATAGGAGTACATGAAGGACTGTCATGTGAGATCAGACTGGAAAGATAAAGCGATAGCAGATTATGAAGGGCCTTGAATCACAGGCAGGGGAGTTGGGGCAGTAGGGAGCCATTAGAAGGTTTGGAGCAGAGTTGTTACATGAATTGATAGGTTATTCTGGTTATGCTGTGAATAATGCATATGGTGATGAGGTGGGAGACTTCTGGCCAGGATGACTGTTTGAAGAGAAGCACACACCTCACTCCCACATGCTGACTCCAGCAAAAACCTGAAGTTCACAGCAGACTGAATAATCATCCGTAAGTATAACTGGAAACTACAGTAAATGACTGCCTCTACCCAGAACTGCGCAGACCATCAGTCAAAAGCCCATGAACAGTAGAAAAGGGTTTACCAGCAAAACTCATGCCAGCATAGACAAATAAACTGAGAGCCTCTCAGCACCCAGTGAGGACCAGGTGTAGGCTGCCATTCAGGCTTTGTTACTGGATGCAGCAAAAACCGAAGCCTCCCCCAGGAAGTCCCCAGAAATGATCAGAAAGCCCAAGATTGGTCACAAACTACAGTCAGGACCTTGGAAGCTAATAGTAGCCACCACAACTGATACAAGTGTAGCAGTACTCATCTTGGATAGCTCAGTTGCCTAAGGGCTCCAAGGTCTCTAGTACTCTGTTCTGAGATGAAATAGAGGGCCCTGAAGATCTAGTGCTCTGAACTGCAAAGATATCTAAAGGGGTCTCATCCTGGTAAGTGGAGGTCAGTTTAGCAATTTAGGTGAACCAGATTAAAGTGAAGCAAGGCCACCCAAAAACATAGGAGGGAGTGGAGTGTGGCCCTGGTAAAAAGACTCCATAAACTATCGCTAGGTAGATGAATAAACCAAAGAAGACACTGACCAGTATAAAAATTATTCTAAAATCTGGATGTGCCTAAAAATCTAGCTTAGAATGAGAGAATAAATTCCTAAAAACTGCAGGCAAGAGACCCTGTGAAAAATGGGTTTTTCACAGGAGCTACATGATTACCAAAGAAAAGATTTTCTAAAAATAAAAATAAAAAAAAACAAACACCAAAACTCTAAGGAGTTGAAAGAAGAATAAATAGCTTAGAAAATAAAGTAGTAAATCTTACCCAAGTAATAGATTCCCTGAAAACTAGAATGGACCAAACAGAAATAAATGACTTCGTAAGACATCAAGAAATATTAGAACAGTATCAAAAGATTGAAACAATAGAAGAAAATGTAAGATTTGATATCAACAACTGACCTGCAGAATTGGTTGTGAGAGATTTTAAAAATTATTGGACCTTGAAAAAAACATGATTTTTTTTTTTTAAAGTTTGGACACTGTTTCAAACAATTATAAATGAAAACTGCTCAGATCTATTAGAACTAGAAGGCAAAGTAAAGATAGAATAAATCCACCAATCACCTTCTTAAAGAAACTCTAGGGGGCAGCTAGGTGGTACAGTGAATAGAGCACTGGCCCTGGATTCAGGAGGACCTGAGTTCAAATCTGGCCTCAGACACATAAAACTTACTAGATGTGTGACCCTGGGCAAGTCACTTAACCCCATTGCCTAGCCACCCCCACCCCCCCAAAAAAGGAAATGTCCCAGGAACATCACAGACAAAATCTAGAGCTTTCATTTCAAAGAAAAAAATACCAGCAAAATCTAGAAAAAAGCAGTTCAAGTTCCAAAGAACTACAGTTAAGATCACATGAGTCCTGGCCTTTTCTATTATAAATGAGAAGAAAGCTTGAACACACAGTATTTCAAAAGGTAAAATATATTGGCTTATAATCAAGAGTAATTTAAACTGTAAAGCATTATGGAATCCTACAGAAAAAAAAAAAACAAAAACCAGAACTTTAATGGAATACAGAATTTCTAAGCAGTTCTGATGAAAATAATAGAGGTGAACAGGAACTTTAAAATACAAACAGCAAAATCAGGAGATACCTAGAAAGGCAAATTTACTTGAGCAATTAAAAGGGACTGTGATGATGAGTGATAACACCTAATTGAAGGGGAAGAAACAAGTGTCCCTTCAGAATCTGACAGTAAAATAAGAAAAAGCATACCAATGGATGGTAAATCCTTAAGGGTTTTAGGAAGGGAAAGAGAAGGGAGGGTAAATGGAGATTAAATTTAGAACAAAGAATAAGAATAATAAAATTAAGAAAAAAGAATAAAGGGATTGAACTTGATGTTTTTCATAATTAAGGGATAATATATAAACACGGAGGAAGTGGTGGGGGAACTGATATCAAATGAACTTAAGTCTTATCTGAAATGGACAAAGGAGGGTTGAACATGCATATTTTGGTGTAGAAATACATCAAACTCAACAGAGAAACAATTGGGATTGGAGGAGTGAACTGTTTAAAATGAATGAAAATTCTAGGGAGGGAATAGTTGTAAGCAAAACAAATATCCTGATATTGAAGGAGGGATTCAAAGGAAAAGCAAAGCAAAAGAACTAGATGCTAAGGGAGATGTCCATCAGATGGGGAATGGCTGAACAAACTGTGTTGTGTGAATAGAATGAAATATTATGTTGTAAGAAATCATGAAAGATGATTTCAGAGCATCCTGGGTAGTATGAACTAATGCAGAGTGAAGTGAGGACAACCATGAAAATAATATTTATAAATAAAGTAACATTATAAAAGTAGACAGTTTTGAAAGACTTAATTCTAGACGAGGAAGTGACCATCATCTCTCCAGAGGAGTTATAATAAAACCTTTTACCTACCACTTGACATAAACCTAGGTTACGTACTCAAGATGCAGAAAGAGACATAACATTTTTGGATCTGGCCAAAATGTAGATTTGTTTTGCTTTACTCTTCTAATTCGTTACAAGAGTCCCTTTCCTCTTCTCTTTTTAATTAGGGGTTTGGGGGAAAGGGGGGGATTAGCAATTGAGTTTTTTTGTTGTTTTTGTTTTCTTTTTGGCAGTTGGGGTTGAGTGATTTGCCCAGGGTCACACAGCTAGTAAGTGTCAAGTGTTTGGTCTGAGACTGGATCTGAACTCAGGTCCTCCTGACTTTGCCACCTAGCTGACCCAAGCAGTTGAGATTTTTAAAAAGAAAGTCATTGGAACATTTTTTTAAACAGGCATTGAAGAGCTCAGAAGAAAGTTCAAAAGGAAGCACAGAGAAGCAGAATGGTTTTGAGAGCAATGATTAGAATTTACATATTTTTTAAAAAATCAGTCATTATGAAATTGAGCATCAATTTCATATAAAATGTTTTTTGTGTTCTGCCGTGTATATGGATATTTTTTAAGATGTTTTAAGTTCAGAATTAAATTTCTCTTAAATGAAAGGGGGGTGAGTGAAGGTAGGAAAATCTGTAGGCTATTTCATTAGTTACCTCAAGTGGTAGGTAATTAAAGGTTATACTTGATTGGAGGCAGTGGAAATGGAAAGGATGGTTCAAATGTGTGAGCTTTTTTTAAAAAAAAAATTTGTTTCTTACAATTACGTGTAAAAACAATTTTCAACATTTATTTTTTAAACTTTAGAATTCCATATTCTCTCCCTCCTTCCTTTTCCCCTTCCCCCCATTGAGGAGACAAACAGTTTTATATAGGTTATACATGTTCAGTCATGCAAAACATATTTCCACATTAGTCATGTTGTGGGGAAAAAAATATGGACCTCCCTCCACACCTATCCACCCCCAGAAAACAAGAAAAATAAAGTTTAAAAAAAGGTATACTTCAGTCTGCATTCAGACTCCATCAATTCTTTCTCTGGAGGTGGATAGCATTTTTTCATCATAAGTCCTTCAGATTTGTCTTGGATCATTGTATTGCAGAGAATAAATGTGTGAGATTTTATGGAGTTAGGCAGTTGATTGAATGTGAGAGTGGATAATGAGGGAGGGGTCTAAGATGTCACTAAGGTTGCAAACAGTCACTGAATGATGGTTCTAAGGACAAATTATTGAGATCAGAAGGAGGAAAGAGGTTTTCGGGGGGAAGGAATGAAAATCTTTGGACTGTTGAGTTTGAAGTGCTGGTGGAATTTCAG